AGGCTACACGCTCGTGAGCGTTGGCCGACTGGATGACGCCCGGGTTCGAATGTAAATTTTCGGACGGGCGGTGCACTATTACCGCACCCAACGGCACTGTCGTCGGAAAGATTCCGAAGGACGAGCGCGGCCTGTACCGCATCACAGGACGTGCGACCACCACGGATTTGGCAAATCCCGCGGTGGAGACGGTTACGCTTACGCAGTTACACAACCGTCTGGGGCACCTCAGTGTCGAGGCTGCCCGGAAGCTGGTCAAAAACGGCTTTGTCACTGGTCTGGCCATTGACGAGTCGTCGCCGCCGCTCACCTTCTGCGAGGCCTGCATCTATGGGAAGTCTACGTGCAAACCCATCCCCAAGGCCCGCACGAGTGAGCGCGCAGCAAATTTCGGCGATGAGATCCACACAGACTTGTGGGGACCAGCGCCGATAGCGTCTCTCGGACAAAAACTGTATATGGCTACATACACCAACGACAGTACTCGATGGGGCGATCTCGATTTTTTGCGACTCAAAAGCGAGACGATTACCTCATATGACGACTACGCTACTTCGCTGAAGACTCAGCATAATGTTGTTGTCAAGACCTTGCACTCCGACCGTGGTGGCGAGTACACGGGAAAGGAATTTGTGTTAGTCCTCAAAAAGCACGGCACCAAGCAAAAACTCACCACCCACGACACTCCTGAGTGGAACGGCGTTGCTGAGCGTCGCAACCGAACCATTCTTGAGCGGGTGCGTGCCATGCTCCATGCGAGCGGTCTGCCAAGGTCGTTGTGGGCCGAAGTGGCACGGCATGCCGCCTGGTTGCTAAACCGCTCGTCCACCCGCGTACTTGGAGGGAAGACGCCGTACGAGGCCCGTTTTCAGTCCCCACCTGATCTCAGCCAACTTCGCGAGTTTGGCGAGAAGGTGTATGTTCGCGACCCCAAACGAGGAAACAAGCTCCGTGGTTTCATTCGCGAGGGGCGCTGGATCGGTATCGACGACAAATCCCCGGGTTGTCACCGCGTCTATTGGCCGGATTCACGCACGGTTACCGTTGAGCGCAACGTCTCCTTCGACCCAACTGTTCCGAGTGCCGATCTCGAAGGGGAGAGTGGCGGAGACCTTACTGGCAACGAGATTCGCCACTCATCACCCCCTGCCGACGCAGCAACCCCACCAGCCGTGCAAGAGGAGCAGCCTGTTGAAGGCCGCTCAGTCCGCATCCGCATTCCCTCACGCTATGTCAATGACCTGCGCTCTGGACAGTACTCCGTGGATGGCACTGGCAACGCGCGCTTACCTGCTGGTATGCAAGCGCCTGCCGAACCACAAAATGTTGTTGAGCCTGTTGAAGGGGAGTGGTTCGGAGCAGCTGAGGAGCTCTCGCTCGCAGCTGAAATGGCCGATGTTGAAGGCCTGGAGCCTCGCACGCTCGCTGAAGCTATGAGACGACCGGACTGGCCGCTATGGCAGCAGGCAATTCATGAGGAGCTTACCACCTTGAAGACCTCTGGCACCTGGGAGCTCGTGGACGCACCAGCGAACACAAACGTCATTGGCAGCAAATGGGTCTTCCGTGTGAAGAAGGACGCCGCTGGGAACGTTGTCCGCTACAAAGCCAGACTCGTTGCCCAGGGTTTCTCCCAAGTGCCGGGTGTGGACTATTTTGACACGTATGCGCCGGTCGCCAAGCTGGCATCAATGCGCACGATTCTTGCGATCGCCGCAGCCGAGAACCTGGAGCTCCATCAAGTGGACATCAAATCCGCGTACCTGAATGGTGAACTGTCCAATGATGAGGCGCACCTTTACATGCGCCAGGCGCCCGGTTTTCCAGAGCCCAACTCTCATGGTAAGGTGTGCCACCTTCGCAAGATGCTCTACGGCCTCAAACAGTCCGGTCGACGCTGGTACCAAAAGCTCACTTCCATCCTTGTCGAGCACCTCAACTTCTCGCGCTGCGAAGTCGATCAGGCAGTCTTCTTTCGCAAGACCAATGACAAGATCATTATCGTGTTTGTCCACGTGGACGATTGCACAATTGCCGCGTCCTCCCTTGCCCTCATAGCCGGCTTCAAACGTCGTCTTGGCCAGTTCGCCGTGAGTGCCAGTGCTGCTTAGAGTTAGGGCTCGTCGGTTACTTCGAGTGGCTCCAGCCAGTGGAGCTGCAAAAAAAAAAAAAAAAAAAAAAAAACTTTATATCTTTTATCTTAG